GAGTGTCAGTACCAGTTTCGAAATCGCAGATGGAACTGCACCACCATCAGGAGGTCTCTCAGGAAGATCCTCTTACGCGGTGAGTAAAGTCCTATCCTCCTCGTCGCGTTTCCTCGCCATTTCCTCGACGTTGATCGCTCCATCGCAGTCGGATCCCTTATCGATCCGCGATCCGCGTCACTCGAGTTACCGACTCGAACGCGCGCCATTACTTTCAAATTAACCTCGATGAGGCTATCGCGAGCGAGGGAAAGCGGTCTGGCCGGGCGGTTTTTGTCGACGCAGTTGCGTAACAGCCGGTTCCATTAATCACGGAAATTATTTACGCACACGTCGCAGTTGTCGCGGTAAACGTTGCTCCTCCGAGTCCCTCGCGATATAAACGTGTCCCTGCTCTCCTCTCCTCTCCTCTCCTCTCCTCTCCTCTCCTCTCCGTCTCTAACTGGCACGCGTTTTACGAGTTTCCTTCGCGATCGGTCGCGTTGGATTTAACGACCGGATTTACCATTCGTCTCGCGAGACTTTTTCGCGTGACTTCTTCATCGAAAGCACCCCACGGGTAGGGAGAATTGTCGCGATTGGATGCCGATGGGATGCCGATTTCGGAACCTCCGATCGGCGCGGTAAATGGAACAAACGGAGCCGTGTATCAGGGTCGAGCTCGTGTCCGTAGAAAAATTCTCACGCGGTTGAGTTAGCGTGCGCATCGAAGAGGAGACGGAGAGGAGAGCGAACCTGTCCGCGTGGCTCGCTTAGTTACCCGTCCGATGTATTAATTCCGGGTGATCGAGCACGACAACTAAATCGAAGACAGCGTGTCCAATAGGCCGGACTGCGCTCTAGGCCGCGCTATCAGATCGGTACCTTTTGGTAGCCTGACAGATCGACACTGTTCGTCGGATATTAGTGGCAATATGTTCCCTTAATTAAAGGCTTCATTGCCAAGGAGACCGTCCTCCTCGGGGACCACTTCTCCTCTCTTTCTCTCTCCGTTCACCCACGATCCAGAGATTACACGTTCGATCGTATCGGCGGTGATTCGTGGCCGACTGGATGCGATTCGTCGGCGGATCGAGACGCGTGGATTCCGGTCCCGAGCGGACGATCGATGATCGAATTATATCCGACACTGTCGGCGATGCCTGACAATCGGTGCTCGCTCCCTCGGAGATTCCCGTGCTGCCTCGCCGTTTTATACCGTTTTATACCCGGAGCCGGTGCTCACGGCTGCGAATGAACCGGCCAACGGGTTAATTAACTCAGCCGAACGATATTCGCTGCGCGCGATGTTCCCGCCGCGAGATGGAATTCGCTAAATCGAGTTTCGATACCGCACACGGAGACGCGTGGAGCCACGTTAATATCGGGGAACTACCGGCGGCCGATCGGCAGGGAGCTGCAACCGGATGGGCCGAAAAAGGATCTAATTTGCGTTTCAGCTGGCACTTACGAGCTTGCCTCACCCCATAAAAACGATACCGCGTCGTAAAGACGACAAAGTCCGATTACATTATGCTCGGTGGAGGAATCGTAAAGTTTTGGTGGCCGGCCGCGCCGTAAACGATTAACGAGCTTTCACCGTGGCCGGCTTTTTACGCGAAATTCGCCGCAATCGCGGCGCTCGTTCGCGGAACATCGTAATTACGGGTGGCACCGGTCCCACCGACACGGGTTGCGAGCGGGTCGGTAGCCGCTCCCGTTTTCCGCCGCGTTTTCGACCGAGTGCCGAGTGCGCGCGACCCAAACGGGACCGTAGGGCCCTGGTTAGGTTGAGCGGCAGGTACATAAAGCCCGGCTGCCGGGTGCATTATTGGACGGCGCGGATCGATGACAGGGGCGGCGATGTGTTAACCGGTCGTTTCGGGTGACAATCCTCGACGTGGTCGTTTATCTGCGACCCCGGGCGAGGACAGCTCACCCTGGGAAGTCCTCAGCGAGAAATATACGACTCTTTGGCCCACCCTCGACGATCCGTCAGCGCTCGCGCGTCTTTTGAAACTCCGGCTGGATATTGCCGGATATTTTGCCTACAAATCGGTCACGAGCAACCACCGTCTCTTTATCCGAGATTTATCAGCGTGGATCATGATCGACCTCGGTATTGGTCCGTTTACGCAAAGCGTGGGTATCTTCGAGCGACGATACGGGACAAACGCATTCCACCGAGGTAGTTCGTCTCTCGAAGAAGAAAGACGAGGTGCAGTGCGATGTGGGATTTTCTCGCGCGATTAACAACGGCAAGGGATCGCGATGGGAGGTCGCGAGCAGGGCGGGGTGAATCGGAGGCGTCGATAGCGGAGGGAAAAAAGAGAGAAAAATGGACGGGAGCGTATCGAACGGTCGCTTATCCGTCGATCCTGTCGGCGAGGTGGATCGGAGCGAGGAAAAATTCCTAACGGGCGAGCACGGAGGGAAAAAGCGAGGAGGAAGGCACGCTACCGGCGGCGCCTATCTTAATTCTCGATTGACGTTTATTTATCTGGCGACGTTTAATTTTTATGGGCGCGATCTGGCCGATAGGTTAGCCTCGCAGGTAGCTCCAGCTGTGTGGTCCGAGTCCAGAAGAGATGCCCGGAGTCGGACTGGTAGAACATTCGTGGACGAGCAGCACCTCTTAATTGAGGGGTGCCGCGTGTCGCGATAAGAGGAACACGGGCGTCAAAAACCCGTGGAAAGAGCTACCAGGGGAAAGGAAAGGAGGAAGGAATTTATTGTGCTGCCACGGCGCGTTCGTTCGGTATCCGAAGGCAAGGATTCAGCGTGGCTACGATCCCCGGATCCTCGTCTCGATACCGTGTGCCCCTGTCTCGACCAAATTAAGAGAGTGGTTTTCTTCGTTCACCGGGATTCCGTAGAGTATTACTCGGCTACGGAGGAAACGGCTCTCTAAAAGCGGCTTCCTCGAATCAACAAATTGCTCTTTCTTCTCCACGAGATCGGGAGGCGGAGCCGGCAGCGGGACGATTTTATTCCGCCGTCCGGATCCCGAGGAGCTCCTCCGAGACGGGTGAACGACCCCCGGGGTCTCGTTCGCTCCCCCCCCCCCTCTCTCCCACGAAAATTCGTGGAATTTTTCCCCGATATCGCCAAAAATTTTACCTGCTATCGGAAAATTTTTCCCGGGCAATGGCGATGTTCGTGCTCGGAGGAACGCTCCTGCATTCGATTTCGCCTCGGAAACATTCTTTTCGCCGATGTTCCCCGGCTCTAACGAGGATGCTCACCTTGGCGCGTTAATAAACTCGAGCCTCGTCGCGCGATTATTCCGGGCCTCGTTCTCGCGGCGCTTCGTTTCGCGGTAATTACCGAGTATCTATTTCGGCTGGACGAGAAAGCACGAGGATTTTTGCGAAGCCGATCTCCGGCTCGTCGATTCGTCGTGT